TTTCAGGGATCTCATGCTCCAGACATTGTCATAACATCAACTGAGACATCGTCTGTAAAGACCCAGTCCAAGACATCAGATGTCATAGTTGTTTTAAAAGAAACTTGCAAAGAGCTGGATGCTAGAAAAAGGACCCTAGAAATTCTAATTGCCAGGCTAGAAAAGGAGGAAGCTGAAGAAAGCAGAAGGGAAGAAGGTGTAGAAGCTGAAGGACATCTCAACATTGAAGAAACTAGCTCCTCTGAGTCTGATGACAGTGCTTGAAGGTTGATTGCTGTTCGGTGGTGTTGCTGGTTGGTTGCTGATATCTGGTGGAGTTTGGAAGTGTATTCGGTTGTTTTCTGCTGCTGATCTTATTATTTTGTTTTGGATAACTGTATAATTTTATGAACATGTATCTTTGGCCCATTTGTGGCTAAAGAGGGGGAGAATATTTTGGTACTTACTTAATTAGTACTTGACATTCTATTTTTCTGCTGTCACTTATTTCTGCTGCTATCTATCTCTGATTGTTTATGGTCTTTAGCCAAAAATCCGCCAAAGGGGGAGTTTGTAGGTGTTTAGGTATTGGCTTGCATTTTTGGCAAATCCCAAGTGTATGTGTAAATGTCATGACTGATGTCATAACATTCTAGTTCAGTTTGTACTGGTTCATTAGGTACCTTTGCAGAAAAATATTGTAGTTCAAATACTGATGTTTATAAGTGTGTATCTGAGCATTTTGCAAAATGATCACATTTTGCTAAGTCAGCAGACAGGTTTTCTCAGATGTCATAACAAATGTTATGACATCCTGTTCTGAACTAACAGGATTGCAGGATTGGATAAGTCTGAGTTTTTTCAGGAAATAACTCAGTCCTTCCTGAACAGAATCCTGCGTTTTCTGAGGGGCAACCTAGCTCAACCCTAACCTGGTTAATAAAGTCTTGTGACCTGGTCTTTAGGTCAAACGGAATTAACCCTAGGTTTTTGGAAACCCTAACTGAAGTTGCAGCTGCTATATATTCAACAGAGCTGCTGTTTTTCAAGGAAGGATTTTTATTGATTAGAAGATCATTTGTAATCTGTATAGATTTGATTATTGTACTCCAAGCAATTATCATTGTGATAAGTGCCTTGGAATAGGTTTCTAATTGTAAGGGTTGTGTAGCACTCTAAGCTTTGAAGTAAGAGTGTTTGAATGTTCCTTGACTAAAGCTGTGAAGCAGAGTCAAGTTAGTTGTGTACATCACTCAAAGCTGTGAAGCAAGAGTGATTGTGTTGCTTGATTAAAAAGCTGTGAAGCTTAATCAAGTGTTAGTTTTTTGAAGAGTGTCTTCATCAATTCTTAAGTCAAATTGGTTTATGTATCACTGCTGTGATTGAGGGGGAGTGAGTAGGAACTCAGGTTTAAGTTGTACTTAGATTGGAATTGCATTGGGTAGGTCTTAAGTGAAGGAGATAAACTGGTTGGTTTATTCCTGAATTAACATCTCTTATAGTGGATTTCCTCCCTGGCTTGGTAGCCCCCAGAGTAGGTGTTGTTGCACACTGAACTGGGTAAACAATTGACTGTGTTCTTTATTGCTTTTGTATTTACTATCATATAGTAAGTCAGATACAGTGTCATAACATTGAACGTGACATTCAGTATCTGCAGCCAGAATTTCAGGAATGATGGAAGTATCTCTTCTTCCTCTTTGCGTTAGAGACTCTGAGCTCATAGGGAGCTGAGAATTAGCTTGGTTAGCTGGAGAAGGGATAGAGTTGAAAGATCGGATTTTTTAGCGCGCCTTATGCCTGTCCTTTCCTGACTCCGTCGATGGTATGCCTGAGATGGCAGTCTTTCTCCTTGGCTTGTACTCGAGATTCCCTTTTTGTTCGAAATCGATATCTTCGCCTTTGAGAAAGGGAACGAAGGAATTTCGTCTGTTGTCACAAGAATTGTTCAAGTTGAATGCGAATAATCGATTGAGTCCGATCTTTGAAGACTTGAAGGACTAGTGTCCAATCCCGGCCGATGTAGAGTAGTCCATTTTGGGCAGCAATTCCTCGTAGGGAACTACCTATTGTCCTTCTTTCTTGTGGTGGAACCTGGGATTAACCCTCCCAGAAGTTATTATCGCCAAAACAAAAAAAGACATCCTGAATTTCCCACAAGAGTAAAACTATAATAGTATCTGACTCATATGGCGGAGGGGGTTGCGTTCCCCTCTCTTTCTGCTGGATGGGGAGTGCATCGGTCGGCTATGTCCCTGGACCTCCTGGCTTCCCTGTCACGTCCGAACGTAATCAGAGAAGACCTTCCCAAGCACTGCACCACCATGTGATCATAAAGAAGAATATCCAATACAATCACAGGAAAGAGTACCCAAAAAAAAACGTAACGTATCAGGGTCGTACGCCTGGAACAGTCGTACAATTTCGGAGATTCAAAAAGGAGTATATCCCTCTCCCTTAGTGTCTTTCCACTTCCCTCGTTCAGGAACAAACCCTTCGCCTAATTATTTTGAGTCCCGGCCTGGTTTTTCTCCACTAACCAATTACGTTATGACCACTGAAGAAACTTGGTTGACGAACATGGTTTATGCGCCGCTAATGTAGCGGCTTGTCGAGCATTTGACAAACTCATACCATCCATCTCAAATAGGACTTGTCCCGCAGACACACGAGCAATCCAACCCGTAGGATTTCCTTTTCCTCTTCCCATTCTTACTTCTGTATGTTTCCCGGTAATAGGGATATTTGCGAAAACTCTTACTCATATCTTACCTTTTTTTCGGAATTGTCCGCTCATAGCATGATGGAAGTGCCCGATTATAGCCCGACGCGCTGCTTCAATGGCTCGATATGAAAGATGACCAACTCTACAACTTTGAGTGCCATATCTTCCAAAACCTAGTTTTGTTCTGTCTGGTTTGTAACCCCTACTACATCTGCCTTTACGATATTTACTACATTTCGTACGTTTCGGATATAGCACGTCCCTTTTTTTTTTACTATATGAAATCCACACTTTGACACCTGAGATTCCGTAACGAGTAGATACTTCCGCAGAAGCATAATCGATTTTCTAGTTAAATACATTACGAGATGTTTTTCCATACTTTCCGCATTCAGTTCTAGCTATTTATGCGCCTTCTGATCGACCTGAACAACATATACGGATCCCCTCAACCCGTTTTTTCATTACTAATGGAATATCCTTAACTATTCTACTAAAAATGGAACGAAATGATCTTGTTTTCTTTCTCAGTTGAAAAGAGATGTCTTGAGCAATCGAAGAAGCACTTTGATAAACAAATTTGATCTTGACTGACTCAATTAAGGTATTAGTGTTTGTTCTATTAGACAACAAAGATCGCATTTTTTTCACTTCGTTCAAATAAGAGTTGTACCCGTACAGAACTTTTCTGTTTCTCAGTATGATCTCTATCATCATCTCTATTCCATTTATCCACTCTCCTATCCTACCCAGGTCTATGAATTTATCTATCAATTCCATTACCTTATCCTTACCCATGAGGTTCCAACATTTGATCCTTAATTGACCTAGGAGTGGTTCCCGGGTATCCTCAAAAAAAAGGTTATTATAAATCCCAACTCTATCCCTTGGAAAGAAAAAGGTAGCACCGAAGAAAGGAAAGAGCGAGATGGTGGTTTTTGTTGTTCCCGCGAAGCGAAGATCATTCGACAAGCGAATTAAGTGGGTCAACCTCTTTTTGGCTTCGGCCAAACACTTTTTCTCGATGGTCGAGCTTTCTACAAAAAAAGCGATGCGAGAACGTATTCTCTTATCTAAGCTTCTTCCATGCGCATTCGCTCCCCCCATCGTAGATGGTTCAGCCACGCCCGGTGCCATGAAATGATTGAGAACTACGACGGGGTCGAAATGCATTTGGTTCTTTCTACAAAAAAATTATTGCATGACCGAATAATTCAAGGAGGGGCGCACTGCAGGGAGGGTCCTTTGAAATAGATGACTCGTCGGGCCGTCAGAGCGGGACTTCTTGGGGGAAAAGAACTTAAAAAACTTTGTTTTTATGAAGGAGTCGTAATTTTCTATCAGGAACGCTATGTCATTTACAGCCCCGACGTATTTCGGATGCTTGAAGGCCCCGCTGACCCGAAGTGATTTAGAAAGATTCTTCTTTATCGATGGTGATCGGTCATGGTATCCATAGCGTTGCTTCTTTTTCGGCCAAATCCTAATTTCGTTTTGCTTCTCTCGGTCGTCGAGCCTGATCGACTCAACTCTTTTCCCTGCCCTCTGGCCTCTCACTTTGTTTCGTTCTTATTCTTTCTTGTTGCTGGAATGAAGACACCCGATCAGCCCGACTTTCCCAAATGCCCACCACCAGCCCTTCTCCTTTCCGGGTCTGGATTTATCGCGTCGTTTCAGTCGTCGTGGTCGACGGGGAAGAAAGAAATGAATGAATGTTATTTTGGGAAAATGTATAAGAATACACCTACCGAGACGAAATCCAAAGGTTAGTCTCACAGGTGGACGTATCGAACCGAAATAAGATCTCAGATTGACATCTTAATAAACTAATTTACCATAATAATAAATAGAGTCAATGGTGACTCCGTCGTGGGAATAGCCGCTTCTTTCTTGCTTGATAGAGGGGCTTCCCATCACCAACGCTAACAAAAATTGCTCTCCGAACCGTGCTGGATAGTCACCCATCACACGGCTCTCAAACCCAACCTGTGGTGAATCCCGGGAGACAAAGTCAAAGCGCTTGATCCTTTGCCCCATACTTTGAGATGCTTCTCCCCGCCGATCAAGCATCGACGCTGCTCGTGATAGGCTTAGCTTTAAGCCGCTATTGTTCGGTTCGAATAAGTAAAGTCCCCTCGGTCGGTTCTCTCAGGTGGCCTTCCCTTATCTTCTCTTCTCTAACGTTCAGAGTTGTTCTGGTTTAAAAAAGGAGCACCGGCCGAGCACCCTGAATGAATAATAAATGGACAGCAAAGGGAATCAATGATTCTTATTCAACTGAGTTGAAGTTAGCAACATGTCGATTACACACCGGAGGTTGGTAAGAACTGAGGGACAATGCCCCCCTAACCTAAGTGGGCCTACCAGCGAAACAACTGGTACTGGATCGGGGGTGGGGGGTTGGTTTCGTGCAAGGCCTTCGCAGCAAGAAGAGGCAGTTGTCATTTGAAGGGAAAGTCCCTTTGTATAGGGTTCCCTGCGCACCCTGATTCAACATTTCTATGTTCTTAGTCAAGCCTAAACTTATTGAAAACTAAAGCGCTAACGCTATAATAATTATAAAAATAGCAACCTTTCGCCTTATAAACTAAAACAAAACAAGTTTACTTACTTACTATAAAAAAAGAAGAAAGCGGCAACAAGCACCTTCTTTCTCAAAGTAAACTTTCTTGCTTCTTGCTTTAGAAAGATTGCAGCGTTAGCGCTTCTTGACTAAGAACATCATAGAAAGTCAAGGCTCCTTCCTTTTCTAGGAATCTACAACTCTCTTTACTGAGCGAGACTCCATCCATATCCCTACTAGTGGTTATATTAAATATTTTTTATTTTATCATTTGTTTGACAGCCTAAACTAGGCTCTATTTTAGATAGGTTTTTGGTCTTAATAAAAAAAATAGGTCAGGGGCGCGTCAGAACGGTCGGTGGCTGCTTAGTCTCATCCGAGAGTCTAATCTCTTTGTACTTTTTTATTCTTTCTTTTAAAAATAAATAATAAAAATAAGGGGGTCGATTTAGGCTCCTTCCCTTCCACTGCATAGCTGCGCTATCAGGTACTATGAGCCCTCTATCCCACGCATCTAACCAGCTCGCGTGGTTCACCGATTCCACCAAAAACTCTCATTTGTTGAAGCGGAGCATAGTGCGCTTTAGGCGCCGAGCGAGAAAGGTATATTTCTTCTTTCGTTTCGGTTTATTAACTGATCTGAAACATAGCACTAGTTTTCTTATTGATTCCAGGGGCAGCGGCGTTCTTGAATGAAGTCTATCCGAACCGAATTAGCACTTCTCAGATCAGGCTAGGCCTCTCCAGCTCCGCACGGCGCCGGGGCCCTGGATGCGCTAGCGATCGGCACATAGGGGGTGCCGGGTTTCTCGGCCTGGTATCCTGCACCTCGCGTTCATGATATCTACATTCAACTGTGCCCCGGAGACACGGTCGAAGCACGCTCGCCCGGTGTGCTTCTTTCACAACATGCTCTGGTCCCGGGTCTCTTCTAGTGGTCTTCTAGCGTTAGAAGAAGTCGTGTACGTCCCGGACATCTTCTACGTCCTCCCATCCCAAGCGTTTTTATTCAAAATATATAGGACAAACTGAAGGAAAAGACTGACCCATTCGGTAACTTTCACGGTCGCCCTCACTGAACCGACTTGAATCTGAACTACGATTCAGATCGAGTCTTACCGAAATCGAATTTCCTTTTCGTGCCATATGCGCCTTATTGTTACATTCTTTAGTTTTTCCCCTTTTTTCTTCCCGGTTTAATATTTGTTCTCGAAAGTATTCGTTTCGCAAACTCTCAAAATTGTTGACCAAGCAAGGTCGCACTGAGACTGTGAGAAGACTAACAGAACACTCTCTGACCCCCACTGACCAGCTAGTCTGAACTGACGACCGGACCGCAAGCTACTCAATTTTTTTTCTTAGCTGCTCTGGATTCGATTCTAGATGCTACTTACTTACATATGATGTTTTCTTTCACAAGGTAGCGCATCTATATAGCATAGCTGAAAGAGGACAAAAAAAGTTGTTCCCATGGCGTGACGTAGGCTTAGCCTCTTTCTCTATCTACATTTATATATGATAATCTCACTAGTGGACAGCGAATAAAAAGATGCCACACTAAGAAAGCAATCCAATCAGGAACAAGGTAGTTAGGGACATGCGGACTAACTGCTCTGACATTCCTATTTTTTGAAATGAATCTTCGGACCTTCTGCCAGCGCTAACACCATCCGAGCTTGCACTACCGCTCAAAGAGAGATGCCTGTGAGACCCCCTCCAATTCTGTAATTTGAAGGAGGTTCTGAGAATGAAATTCAAACCCCTCGTCACTTACTAGTGAGCTGGAAAGCTTAGGGACGCCTCTTGTTCCTCTTCTCCCATTTGACAATCGTATCTCAGAATGTTCGGATGATTCTCTGGAACTAATATATGCTTTCTTTTTTTTAAGAATGGGGATATATCGTTGGGAAAAAGCAGAAGAAAAGGATTTAGCGGACAGAAGAAGGGAAGTTCGGAAAAGCCTAGCAGATGGAACTATCAACTCCTTTCTATTACGATCTCGGCACCTTTCTTACCCCCTACAAAAAATTTACCCCTATTTTGAAGAGGAAAGCTCCCAGGTTCTGCATCTTAAAAAAGTGCATGACCAGATTGGAAGAATTCGCAATGGGCCAACTTACCCAGCCATGATGCGCATGACAGAAGAGAGAAAGAACAAAATGGAGTTTCCATCTTGAATGAGGCTCACGTCCGGAAATAATCTTTTTCAAGACTTTCTCCCCTATGTTGAACTTTCTCTATATTACCTGATTTTGGAATGCACTGGAATTTTCTGGTAGACTTGGACTTGTTCCATGGCGCGAAGTATCTTCTCATCTAATAGCTCTAATTGCGGGGATATCTAAAAAAGATGCTCCCCCTCTCATCCACATCAAAATCTTTGTCAAGCTGGGCCCTGATGAGGGATGTGAATGGCTGAATACGTCTGCACGTATGCAAGTAAGCAACTGGCCAACAATTGTATCGAGCTACAGGCCCTTCTCATAAGATGTTGTAAGCTACGGGCCAAAAAATGTCCGACGAAGCTTAAAGCAGACATAAAGAGCTAACTCAAAAGGGGGCCAACAAGCCCCTTTAAAGCAAATGCCTGTGAGAAGCCTTAGAAGTTACAGGACATAGAAGCAAGCCTAAGCAGCACCTAAGAAGCTGGTCAAGAAGTGGATTGAATCTTTTCCAGTCTAGAGACTGGCGGATTACCCTCAAAAGAAAGGATTCAAATCTTCCTTTTGCTTTGAACAAGATAAGTGGACATATGAGTTGAATAATACAGAGACAGATAAGCTAGGCGAGGTTCCCCTTTGATATCTCCCAACCTAAAGGTTTATTCAGAGGTGGCTCTTTCAACCTCCTACTCTTTCGATGAAGGGTGCACTACAAGACCTTCGGTACTAAAAAGAGAAAATGGGGGGGTTTCATTGATATTGAGTCGACTATAAACTACTCATCTTGCTTGGAACCGCCGTTGTGTATGGGAAAGAGGGGTTCTACCTATGCTTGGAAAAGGGTGAATGGTACCAAAAGGGACGGGATAAAACCCACTAGAAAGAACGGGGGGTCATCCACTCCGTCGCTGGGTAGTCAACTTTATCCGTGACTCTGAGTACAAGATTTCCGGGATCAAGAAACAAGCAAACAAATATGCTCGGCTGGAATCTTTTCTTGTATGCCCAGAAAATCAAATTGCGGTACAACTCAGCTTGCTGCAAAGCCTTTCTTTCTTGTCCAAACACTCCAGATCTGCACTTCCCTTTTCTCCATAGGGCCGAAGCTTTATTAAGAAGGGCTTTTTTTAGAGAGAGCGTAAGGGGCGATCTATATTGCTTGCCACAGCTCTATTCTAGACTCTAAATCCCTAAAGGACTTTAAGATAGGATGAACATTCCCATTCTATAGGTGGCACTGCCCCTATTAGAGAAGGGTGAGGGCCTACTAATTCTCTGCTAGCACTGTTAATTACCTTAGACCTACGCAGCAGGAACGATATGGAGCACCTACTCTACCGGTCGTCTGCTCTCTCGAGGTCGTCCTTCTCTAGGTACAAAAAGGACATTACGGGATATCTAAAAAATTCGATGTACTTCTTAAAGTGTGGGACACATCTCATGTTTGCTGAATCGAAAAACTATCGCCTTTGCATCCTCACAGCGGCTATGATCAGATCCCAGTGTTGGTTCACTTTGGACTTTATCCTCCACAAAATCTTATGATCTCCTGTTCTAAATTATGTTAAACAACTCCTGATCGCAGCAATCATGCCTTCGACGGTACGCTTTTTTTAGGGGGGCCTTGCCTCTTGAATGAGCTTGTTCAACAATGTGCGCTCCTTCTTCCTATTAAGTATAAGGAAGGGCGAGTACCCCTTGAATGACCTTTTGTAAAGGACATCTCCCAAGATCACAAATCGTCGGGCAAGTTCTCCTCCAGGCTCTCCCCTGACCACGAGTGGCGTACTCTGATATGAACCCGTCCTTGAGGTAATTGTAGAAATAATAATACCAAGGTTCCCATCGTCCTCGTAATCTTGACTGGTGATAGTTCATCATGTTCCAACTCTCGATAGTCTTCATCCAAGAATATGAATGAGTCCCGTTCGACGGAAGGGCTCTCTGTGATGTGGCTGGGATGTCCAATCTCTCGATGACAAGCGACTCTATGCTTCGGTGTACTAGAGCGGCTGAGTATTTATTCCATAAGGGCTAGCGAGTCAGCCAAGCGATTGTAGACTCGCACCGCTCACTTAAGGTTTTATACAGAGGGGGTTGTATTGAAGGGCCATAAGCTTTGAATAAATATGCGTTGGTTCCAATCCGGATCTCGTAGTTTGGGTCTCGAGATGATATTCAGGAGACAAAAGAGCAGAGCTGATAGAAATGCTTATTATAATGGAGATACTAATTCTTTAATAAAGACTTGTGCCCATTGTCCAAGATTCCTTTGTGGGACTATCTTTTTCTTCTTCTTGACTTGACTCAAAAACCTTCCCATTCAGGACAGAACTCTGAGGGTATCTCTGAAGATTTAAAATACAGAAGAGCGACTGCCAATCAAGACAATATTGAAGCACGCGCCTTAGGACCGATCCCAGTTAAATATGAAAATGAATCTGCGCGCTCCAGTGAGATAAGGGTTTCCTTCATCGATCGGAACAAAACTAGCAAAAGAAAGAGGGAGTTGCGCTATACATAATACTAAGGGACCCAGGCTCTGCCCGAATGATACGATCGGCAACTTCTAGTACCCAAGCTATGTGATCAATAACTATTCTCCTAGAGGTGAATCCCTCTGGGCGCCCTAAGCAACCTAAGGGTAGAGAAGATGAAGAATAAGGGTAATCTAAGCATGCGCCACCAAAAGGAAAGAGAGGACCGATTGATCCCAATAGCAAGATCGACATTTTTTTTTTAGACTCCGAGGGGTGAGAATAGTTGAAGATCAGAAGATTGGCCTTAATAGATTAAGTGAAAACTTTTTTTTTATATTATATATTATATATATGAGTAAGCCCCTTCCCTTAGGAACAGAAGGATTCAATTACATCGGCTGGCTATACGCTTTACACATCGTCTTATGTGCTACCTTCGGTCAGGGTTTCCCTTCTCTTCTGCGGCATCAGAATCAGAGGACAGATTTATCGTAACATCTGAATCAGGGGCGACTATTGGCTTTATTCAGACTGTTAGCCCTGAACTTATTCAATTAAGTGTTTGATAATTCATTCATTCATTTAACAAATAAGGGTTTGTGTATTTTTTAAAATAAGACTTCTTCTTAAGTAGAATTAAATTTTTTTCGTATTCTAACACATAAAGAAAAGATATCTCCTCAGAAGACGATTACGCGCATCTAGGAATTAATAGCAAGCACAGAAGAAGGAAAGCTAGCCACCGTGGAGTAGCATGAAATGCGCACCGAATCGTCTCTTTGCAGCAAATCATTTGTTATTGAATTGACTGCTTGATAGAATAGGAGGTTATCTTTCTGTTAGCAAGAATCCGCTATTAGAGAATACGCTTGAACTAATAGACGGATGGGATTGATTGATTCTAAATCCGCCGAAAGTCTTTTAGTCAACAAGTATGGATTTATAGACTGGCATCTTATCTTAGAATAAAGGTTTAAGAATCCAGATCAAGAATAGAAGTAGAAGCATGCTAGCATAGAAAGAAATCCCGAGTGAAAACGACTTTCCTTAGGATGAGATTTTAGGGCAAAGTCTAAGGAGCTTATTCGTCGATAACAAGCCTTTATTCAAAAAAGGAATAGAACCGGAAAGCTTTGAAGGCTAAGGTCGTAGAGACAGATCCATATGCATATGTTTATAGGAGTGAGACCAAAAAAATT